TTTACCACAACCTGTATAGTATGTAGGGGTTTCTGATTGTGCAGAATACCAAATCCAGTCTTTATTACTATTTATACTATTGCAAATAGACCAGTTTTTAGTTCCACAGACATGTTGTGCGGCTATTACATGTAAGTGTAATCACAATGAAAAGAAGTGATTATTGTCATTCATTAATTTGCTTGCCTCAGTTTTCCTAAAATTGAGCAGACATAGGTATTTCGTCACTGACAGAAAGATCTTACAAAAGTACATACAGAGGGCAAAATGCTATGAATTCAAATATGGCTGACTTTGTATTGGTGTATAAATGAAAAAAAAGTGTTTTTTCCTTCTTATATGAACATATTGTAATCTTTCAAAGTTAACATGAATATCTGAAAGACAAAACTGAAGCTGGTATACTAGAAGTGTCTGTCTAAAAGTGCATATTCCCACTTAGTGGTTAAGTGTTGATTCACCCCCCATCCCCCATCCCATCTAGAAGTTGGTAGCTAAGCAACCAGATAACCCAGGTCTGTTCAGTAATTATTTATTTCTACTAAATTTGGAAGAATTCATAACTTTTCAGATTAAATTTAGAGTGCAGCTAAATAGGAAGTATACGCACTACATGTGTCTTTAGAAGTTTTATTGTATTTGCTCCACCAGAAGCACCATGCAAACAGAGGTGCAGTAAAGCAACCACACATACATATGTCAATAGTGTCACACAGAACGTCATGATTGGATTTATTTCTCATAATTCACATGACTTTATGATATTATTTTCGTCACAAATCGCATCAGTTACATAACCTCATCTTAGAAATCCTTGTAACTATTGTATTAAATGGAATTATTTAATATGGTTTTAGTAGTGAAGCCAAATGCTATAAAATAGTAATATTCTGTTGATTGGTTATAACTCCAATAGGTTATGTGTCCATAACCTTGGGATGACAGAGTTACTTACATTTCAAGAATGTGTGTCCTGGTGTCACATTTCCATAGACTCAGTCAGTGTAAGCAGATATCTCTCCTCAAATAAATTGATTGTCTAAAAGTGAAAACTGATGAAAACCTAGGAGTTAATTGCTCAAATGCAAGTATTACTAAAGTAAGGAAGAATAGTAAATGTGTCCCACAACTTAAGCTTTTTTTATGCAAATAAGTTAATTTATTGTTATGCAAATTAAAAGCCACACTCACACAAATTATTTTGTTCATTTACTGTAAAATGGTTAATTATTCACTGGGTTTTAATTTAGCTTATTTCGCTGGCTGGAAAATGCGCTAAATTAAAACCCAGTGAATATGTAAAATTTAGCATAGAACAAATTATATAAATGACAAAACTGTGAATTTAAAAACAACTGAATATGCCTGAAATGGTAAATCAGTGAAATTTAAACCCAGTGAAAATTAGTCATTTTACAGTATTTACTTTTACTGTTGTGTATAACCATGTGGGTGGGGGTGGGGGTGTATAATTAGTCAAGTATGGTAATTTATTTTTGGAATCAGAAAAGTATGCATAGTATTTAATAAATTATTGCATTTGCTCCATTTCTTCACTTTTTGGTATATTTTGGAATATAAAACATTGTAATTGTGAATCTTATTGGAAAAATAAGATTCTTCTATTAGATGATTGTCAAGGCAACATATCCTATTCAGTGTGTGTGTGTGCAATGTATATATATATATATACGTGTTTGTACATACAGTAAAAATCAATTCAGCTGGACAGTTTGGTTTGGTTACTATATCAATAAGGATTTCTGGTGGGCATGTTTTTTAATACCAGGTGACCCACTAGTGTGGTTTCTTGCATATGGAGTAATCAACCATATTTATAATAATCACAGAATACTATGTTGACTCTGACTTACATTGAGTCCAGTGTGTGTCATGTCTAGACAGCGTTTTATTTTGGCTCCTTCAATTAAAAATATAATAATGTCACTCTTACTGATTGTAGCTGTATTCATGCCATCTCACTCCTCAGTCTAAAATGTGTACATCAATAGTTTTTACCTTGCCCGTACCATCAAAGATGGAAGGGAAAGGTATATTAAGGGGAAAATGTCTTGTCTATCCGCCGTTGTCGTCGTCACTATTGTCGTCATTGTTAATAATTGTAATATTGTGTGCACAATAACTTTACTAATTCAATTCCAAACTTTATCAAAATTTGGTCACCTTATTCATCAATATAAAGTCTTCCCTGAGTATGGAGGACAGATGTCCTGTATGAAAATATCATGCAAAAATTGAGAAAAAAACTAACTATTTAAGTTGATTTGCATACAAGGCAGAGCTTGCAACATGATAGCTATTCATAGAGGATGTTTTTTTACTTTTCAAATAATACAGTAGTCACACAATGAATATAATAAGGCAGTTCATATTTGTCTCGGTGTTGGTCCGACCCAAATTCAAAATTTATTATGACAATGCATTTTTATATTGAAACAAACTATGATAAAGGGAATAATATTATATAACAAAAGGCAAGGTAACCATAGTTCAACTATGTTTTTTTTAGAAAACAAGTTGACCAAAATTGTCTTTCTTTCTCTGGCTACTACTACTGTAAAACACAGGAATGAATGTTTGCAGAAAAAAAAACTTTTTGGGTGCTGAGTGTAAAATATATATATTTGCTTGATTTAATTTTCACTGAATCATCCCTTCAGTAAAAATAGATAAAATCCAAGTAAAAATAAAGTATTTTACAGTAGTCAACTTGAACTAATGACATTCATTGATGATATAATGTTGAATACATGCACTCAGGTTTCTTCAGTTGAGTGTGTAGTAAAATATTTATTGACTGAACATAGAACTATCTGCAGTATTATCATCTACTGTAGTCTAGTCCTGGTTGTTTTCATGCTTACACTTGTAATGAGAAAAAAATGTTAGTGCTTTTGAGACAATTAAATCTTGATGAAATGTCAATATAAATTCTTTGAATATCATCTTGAATATCATATTATGGGGAATTATCATGTTTATTTGGTATTAAATAAACTAAAATGTGTAAAATTATGGTGTGTTCAAATTACTGCACAGTGAGTTCAAATCACCACACAGTACTGTATGTTCAAATCACTGCAGAGTGTGTTCAAATCACGGCAGAGTGTGTTCAAATCACTGCAGAGTGTGTTCAAATCACTGCAGAGTGTGTTCAAATTACTGCACAGTGTGTTCAAATTACTGCACACAGTGTGTTCAAATCATCGCAGTGTGTGTTCGAATATATGCTCACCATCTTTGTACTGCCTAAAAGTGGTCGCTATAGACAGGTGGTCTTTATACACAGGTTTGACTTTACACCACCATTGCATTATGCTTATGTTTCTAAACATGGCTATATAAATGCTTGTTATAAAGACCAGTACAACTTATCAAAAACAGGATGGGTGGTATAGAATTTCTCTTAATATATACATTAAACTTGGTAGATCCTCCAAGGTACTGATTTTAATGGGGTATAACCTTGTACTCAAAAAATTGGTACTTAAATTTGTTTATACAAGAGTCCCATTTGACCTTCTCTTTACAAAAATTCTCTTGCTATGATATTATTATCCTCCTCCAAATAGTCTGGAAATCATCTGTTTGTCATAGGGCTTCAATGAATCATCTTCAGTAGAACATATTTGCTTGACATGACACTGGCCTAGATAATGTCTTGTTTGTATTAGATGGGGACTGTAAGGTTTTCCCACACTCCTTCATGTACTGGTAGAGGTTGACCAAAATGTGAGTGATGTGGAGCAGGGGATGAGATCTTCCACACATTTAAAGAAAGTCAAACAAATGATTTTCACCAATATTATTTTGGAAATAAAAATTAAGTGAAGATAAAATTAATTTGTAGTTTTTTATGGTCAACATGTGTTTAATATATTGAAGCCTGTGAAGTGAAGGCCATATGTTTGTTAGTATGAAGCCAAGGTGAACGCATAGCATGGACTGCTTGGTATTTTATTGCCAGCCATGAACTGTCATGGTCAATGACCATGATGACCATAGTAAACTGTGGTTATGGCTTGAGTAACCATGGTCAACCATGGGTAACCATCAATTACCTCCATTGCTAACCTTTTTCAATACAATTTCCAGGTCCGACTATTTACTCAGCAGTATAAATCCAAGTACAATCTTCCCTGCCTTCAAAACCTGCATATTAGGTTTGGGATACTGGTTTGCACATGTGCATTTGTAATTAGAAATTAAGACTAATATTAATTTGTCAGGAGAGACAGCAGTGACTTCAATGTCCGGAAATGTTGCCTGACTCAAAAATATTTATTAAAAACAAAACAAAACAAAACATTGAATTGATCAGCTCCCTCTTGCCAATGTAATGAAATTAGTTATGCTAGGAATATTTTAAAAAGTAAAAATAAATATTAAACTAAACCTCTGTAAATGTGCACAATTAAAAAAAAACTAGTTGTGTGTTCCAGGCAGCTAAGATCATTTGTCCAATATCCTAAGAACATACAAGACAAATGGTCATATTAAAATATGACACACACATAGTCATCGTGTCACACATATGCATATGTAATTATTCCATGATACAAATCAAAATGATATTATACGTGGTACATTTACAACTATGGGACCTTGATGCACATCAATTTTTTTTGCAGATAAACTCACAATGGTCAAACGGTGGCCACATGGTTGTCTGCGATTCAGTTACAACTTCAGTTTTTTTAGTAGTTTATTAAGTTTATTATTATTAATATTGCTATTTGCAGTACGTAAATTAATGAAAGTGTGATATGATAAAATTGGACATTTAACAAATATCAAATTGATTCTATCACATCCAAAGGCATCAATATACATTTTTACAGACAGTTAAATTCTGTTTTTAGTTTCACTGTCGACTGTCAAGCGGAGCTTATCATATGAGTGATTGTCCATCGTACACATCAACTGTTTACTTTTTCGACTTCTTCCCGAAAACTACAAGTCTGATTGATTTGAATCTTTATGTATCTACCTTTGACAGACCTCTTCTAGAATTGTTCATTTCATGATGATATTTTTAATTCTCTAATTTTAATGAATATTTTTGTCATTTTTGGTAAAAAGTATAATTTTTCACTTCTTGTTAAAAACCACAAGTCCAATTTCTTTGATACTATACATATACCAGTATACAGTTATTGTACATTATGCAAGCTTAAACTGTGCTAGTATAGTGCCATAGAAAATGATAGGTGAATACATTTCTTGTTTTATTTTTTGTCAGATTTGAGAGATTTAAAAGTTGTAGTTTCTAAAAACAGTACTTTAGTACTTTTTTGTATGAATTGCTACTGAACATATACATGTATATAACATGACGTGTATACAAATATTATTTTGCACACAATATAAAATTCTGCTGTGCACAAATGTATGGACATTTATGTAAATTTATTATATACATATAGGCAAAATAGAATACTGTATATATATTTATTTTATGTGTATACATTGTGATGTCAGTTAATTATTTGCTAAAGTATATCTTCTCAGCTACCAATTATTTCACCACCAGTTCCCTCTTTTCATCTCAAATTCACAAAACAGTCCCGTTTATAGTCTACACTTTCCTTTAGAAGATTGAGACAAAAATGGCAAAATTTTGTGAGTGGAAATTGAAAATTTTGTCTGTTGGCTCCAATATCAGAGTTTATTTCCAGAAATATTGAAGAATATAAAAAAAGTGTCAAAAAAATTGAGCAAGAAAGACTGGTGGTGGAAGGATTAAAAACTCATACATGCACATGTATGTTAATTGTATTGTCAAAGAATGTGTTCAGACAGGGATTGGTAGACCTATAGATTCATTGACTTGAAAAATTTATATCCAGGATATGACATAACTGGTATTTCTACTTGATGTGATCACCATACTGACTTTATGTACACCCTGGCATTCCCATATTAACATTAATTTTTTTCCTACTTTTCAGATGCCAATAAAACAGTTCTTAAGGTGCTTGCGGAATTTTGGAAAACTTATTTTGTCACTCGTGCTTCTAGTAAACATTGTCATCTTTGTTAAAATTTTCAGCGGTAAAGGTCTTCTTTTAACCTCACATCAGGACGAGACACATATTTCCCTGAGTCGAAGTAAAATTCAAATTCAAGACACTTTAACTTTTACGAAATCAGATTATATTGCAAATGAGAAAAATAGTAATATCGTTGCTACCAAAGTTATTGAGGAGATAGAACATGGAGATGATAACGAGGATGATTTAGTCGATGAAGATGACACCGTTGAGAGTTACCTTAGCAACACAAATAACAACAAAAGTAATGAAACAAAAATATACACAGCTGAATTGACTAATAGGACTAATGCAGTTTTGAAAGAAGTGAGTAAAGGCGAATTGAGTAATGATACATCTATCTGTTCCGCTGCTGGAGATATCTTAGGCGAGAAATGTAAAGATATTACATTAGTTCAAAATCAGACAGCACCAACTGTTAAAAGCGATAGCAATTTAGGATTTCCATGGTTTGACAAGAAGTGGAGTTTTAATGCAACAGCCGCAGATGAACTAAGGTAAGTACATGATGAACATACCACTTGTAAATCATTAATATGTGCAATTGTGTTGCATATGGTCGAACATTTTGGTCGTTCATAAAATTGAAGGTTGGGTGTTTATACTTTATACCCATAAAATACACCATGTTGCTTATGTGAATATATCGATACATAATTTGTCTAATTCAAGATGGCCGACTGGTAGCCATTTTAATGGTAAAAATTTTAGAGTCAATTAATGTCTAACTTGCCTGGGTTTTTTACTTTCAAATTTTAAACATACATACATACATATGTATCATAAAACATCACTTTTTAATCAGTTTTATTTTTAAAATTATACTTATTACCTTGGACTGTTAATGTCTTTCTTCAAAACTATGTAAATTTTGAAGACATACATGTAACAGTAATAAAAACAAAACAGTAACAAAATACGTTATAATATACATATTTTTTTTTTTTATCATGTGATGTTCTCTTCTGTAGAACACAATTGGAAGAATCATGCCATACACGAGAACTCTTTTTAACTACAAAGCAAAATGTTAAACAGAATTCGACATTGCAGTATGAAGGAGAACCAAGAAAAAGATTACTTATTACATCACAAGTACACAATATTTTACCAAAGGTAAGTGTGTACAAGCTACTGTAAAATACTGAATGGGTGATTCAGTGTAAAAATAAAATCCAGCATATATATTAATTCTTATATATTACCTTCAACGCTTCAAAAATCAGTAAAAATGAATTCCATACAAAATACCCAAAAAGTCTTTTTAGCGAAAATAAATTCCAGCTAAAATAAAGTATTTTACAGTACTAGATGCGCAGAAACATAACGTGTATGAATGTGCTTTTGGGAGTCTGTGCTTCAAAATGTTAAGTGTTATTTAGATGTTCCTTATTATAACTCAACTCCAGCTTTCAGAAAACATTATTAGTCCCCGTTCAGACGCAGTCCGAAAATGGGGACTTATGTTTTGACCTCTGTGTGTCTGTGCGTGCATGCGTCTGTGCGTGCGTCCGGACCTGTATCTTAGAAATGCCTGGACCAATCACAATCAAACTTCATACATACATCATACATGATATTATACATATGCACATCAATTTGTTTCACGATCTGATTCAAGATGGCCGAATGGCGGCCATTTTTGTGCTAAAAATCATCAAAATCAAGCATTTCGTGGCTGTTTACAGATGGATTTTGTTCAAATTTGGTATATACATTAGACATTATAGGACCTTGATGCACATCATTTTGTTGCACTATCTGATTCAAGAAGGCCGAATAGCGGCCATTTTTGTGTTAAAAAATCCTAAAAATCAAGCATTTCTCGGCTGTTTACAGATGGATTTTGTTCAAACTTGGTATATACATTAGACGTTATGGGACCTTGATGCAAATAACTTTGTTTTTCAGATAAGATTCAAAATGGCTGACTGGCGGCCATTTTGTTTTAATGAATGTGGCTCTCGTGCCATATCTCTGACTTGCTTTCACTGATTATATTCAAATTTTAAATAATCATTATACATCATGTCATAGATAAACAGATATATTGGTTTGACGATCCTATTCAAAATGTCCGAATGGTGGTCATTTTTGTGCTAAAAAATCATTATATATCAAGCATTTCTGGCATTTATGGATGGATTTCGTTCAAACTTGGTACATACATTAGACGGGTTCCTGATGCACGTCATTTTATTTTTCAGATTGGATTCAAAATGGCTGACTGACGGCCATTTTGCTTTAATGATTGGGGTTCTAGAGCCATATCTCTTAAATGCTTTGACTCATTATATTCAAATTTTACATATTCATTATACATCATGTTATATATATACATACATGTATATTCAAAATGGCTGATTTTGAATGCTGTTCCAGAGCAATATCTTTCAATATGGACAAGTACTTGTTTGACGATCAGATAAAAATGTCAATCATTTTAATGTTAAAAAATCATATTCCTGACATGGTTATATTCCAGCTATATTACTATAAACAAAACTATATATCTTAAATTTGATAACTAACAGGGACTGTGCCATGCATGGCTTGTTATTTGTATATTTTATTTTCTCCAGGAAATGCCCTTTGTTAATAAAACATTGAAGAAATGTAGTGTCGTTGGTAGCAGTGGTATCTTACTTGGAAGTATGTGTGGCCAACAAATTGATGACTCAGACTTTGTAGTCAGGTAAGTAAACATCATCATAACCTCTTTGCCATGTTTTACTCCTTAATATTAAGTTTAACAATTTACTATACTACTGTCAGTACCTACTTTGAAATAAGTTTAACTTTTTAATAAACAGTTAACAATGGTACGCAAATGCAGTTAAGTGGCATCAACTCACATGTAAAACCATTGTGTTTCTGAGTAATGATTGTGTTGCCATCTGTTTTTACTATGGCGTATTAGTGTTGAGTAATACTTACAGTAATGTATTGATATTCTGATCATTCAATGGTGTTTAAAGTACATTGCAATGCACTGTTTATTATGTACAAAACACCTCCCACAAATTATTGTGATCACCATGAAGAATAAAATCAGTTGGTGTGGCCCCTTACCAAACTGTTTTTTTTTTGTGGCAACTAGTTCGCACGCTTGTGGCAAGCATAGCGCAAGCATATTCGATTATCAGAACATTCTGACAACTAGTTGCCAATCATTGCCAGTAGCAGCAATCATTCTAGCATCTACTAAGTTATTTGTGTCAACATTGCCACAACACAGAGTAAACATAATTTTGTGGCAACTAAGCGGCAAAAGTGGACATTTATAAAGTGGGCATAAGTGTATGTATATCTTAGCCGTAAGTAAATAAAGGTTGTGTGACGTCAACATTGAATATGTATTTAAAATCTTTCTTTATTACACATCACATTTGACTTACAAATTACAAACTTATACTGAATATAAAAAATATATTGTCAGAAATTGAATGAATGGAATGAAAAATGTACTAGCCCAATATTGTACAAGCATGCAGCCTGTCGGCTGTTATAGCTCTGCTGCATACTTTGATCCAAACTAAGAAGCAGACTGAAGACACTGTTGCAAAATATTATGGTGGTAAACCCAAGGAATGCACTTACATTAATAAACTATTCAGTTAAGCTGTTTTCAAGAAAATGTGAAAAGTGACAAAATTATTCACAAAAATTAGAAAATTCAAAATGTTGTCATAAAATGAATTGGTGTGGTTTTATCAATAAGGAAATTATGTGCTAAATTTAAAACCTTGGATGATCTTTATCAACTTGGTTTTAAATTTAATCACCTACTTTTGTGGCAGGGAATTATCGCTGCTCTCCCAGATAATTGTAAAACGTCGGTAATTTGATGTTTTAAAAGCTGGTGCAACTTTTCATGTGAAAACAAAAGTATGCATTTTTTTTTTCTTGTCAATGTAAGAACATTATATTGTATTATAAAAAAACAAGATTACAGAACAGAAATTAAAGAAAAACAATCAAAAAACAACGTATATCTCCGCTTGCCACGTTCTGTATAGAGTTTTTTTTCAATTTTACGTACGTGCCAAAATCATGGAGTCCATCTATAGGTCGTAGATTGAAATATTTTTTTTACCGAAACATCATACCAGTCATTATGTTTCCCATGGTCTCAGCATCTTGAATGTCCGAACGGAACAACACCGTGCAGGTTTATGTCACAGAGTGGGGACGTGTCATATGTATTCACTGAGTGGACCTCTCACATTTTGTGAAGTTACACAGTTCTGTTATTATATACTTTATGTTTAAAAATGACATCTATTTATTTTTCAAAATTATTATTAGACTTTACTATCAAAAATAATATTTTGCACTTTGCAAATCCTGTAAATCACGACTAGTTTAGCAAGGCAATTAAAATTTGTTGCTTCACTCAGAATAAATCCATTGTTTGATTTTGTGTTTGTGTTGGTGGGGTTTTGTGCGTGGTGGTAGTGTGTGGGGGTGGGGGGGTGGGGGGTGTGATGTGCCTACCTATATTTCCTTGCCACAAGCAGTTTTCTGGCAACTGTGCCACAAGCTGGATTCTGGCAGTTGCAATCTTTACAAGAATTTGTGGCATACATGCCGCAAACTTTGTGGCAACCTTGCCACATTAAGTTGTGCTTGCCACAAGTATGTGCCAGAAGCCTTGTATTTCCGTAAGGGGCAATCTTAAAATATTGGACCACTGAAAGTTGTGGTACATGTTTAATGCCAAATCAAACATAAATTCATGTTCAGGATTCATTACGATGCTCACAGGGATTAGTGAAAGGTTTTGTGGATCATACAAAGTCAAAATACAACTCTAGCATTTTTAGTCTCTTATACCATTGTATCAAGATTAAATATTTGTTTACAATTTATCTTTTTTTTATTTGCAGACTTAATTTGCCAGGTGTTTACAATTATCGCAAAGATGTTGGATCAAGAACTGATTTGGTCTCATGCAATCCAACAATTCTAAAATCAACGTAAGTCATTTTTAATTTACAGTAAGGTTTTCACAAATTCTCAATGTCTGTCAAAACATATTTGATATAGCCCTAGACCCCCTTGCCAGGTTACATAAAAACAAGAAATTTTTTATGGACTATGGTAATAATTTCAGAGTGCATATTTTATTAACAGAAAATTTACTTGCACAGAAAAATGACTTGCACACCAACATATTTTGTTTGCCTAACCAAGTTGTTCAATCTCATAATTTTTTCCACTAAATATTTGTTACAACATTTGCACATTTTAAGTATTTTCCATAATTTCTCTGTTAATTTTGGACCAAATGAACACAACTTCTTCATTGGCTGAACCTTTTAATAAAAATTTTTATAAATTCATGAATGTTAATTTGTTTTGCGAAAGATAACAAAAATTGACTTCATTCAAAAACTTCAATATTGCCAAAAATGAAATATAAACCTTTTACCTTCCCCATAAATGTAACACTTATTTCTTGGTGAACTTCAACAAATTGAAAATAATTGGTTTAGCACTGTCATATACTGTATTTTCTCTATTAGTAGCGCATTCACTTATTATGTAAATGAATATATGTATATATATATACTTTATAAATTATAAATTATATTTAATTAATCAAATTTTGCTTACAATAAATGCATTTGCTGGTTTATGTGTATTTCAATTAAAGATGTGTTTGTAATAACACAAATATGGTACATGTACAAATATGTACAAAATATTTTAAAACGCAACTAGCATGTTATCATTGGTTGCATGTCATTTATCTAAATATTTGAATTCCTCAATACATCTATATATTACAGCATTATCTGATGTTTCATGCTGGTTTTTAACATGCAATTATGTGTACATTATCTTCTACTATTTTAAAAGGGATCATATTAAGGAGTTTCATGCAGTGATAGCATATCACATTACTAGATTTTAGTTCAGTCTCTAGTCATTTGGAATCTTCCAGCTGTCTTGTAACAAGATTACCAATATTGCACTAAATATTATGCTATTTATAGTTCATAATGATATATAATTTTATGTACTGCATGTTTTTAATTTATTTTTCATTGAATAATAGCATCATATGGCATTATAATTTGTTGTGATTTTATCATGTTTTTAGCTCCGCTGTCGACTTTGTCAAGCGGAGCTTATCATATGAGTGATTGTCCGTCGTCGTCGTCGTCGTCCGTCGTCGTCCGTGTCAATGTTTTACTATTTCGACTTCTTCTTGAAACTACAAGCCTGAATGCTTTGATACTTGGTGTATACCTCTCTTATCTTCAATTCTCTTCAATTCTCTAATTTTGGTGAATATTTTTGTAATGTAATTTTTGGTAAAAAGTGATATTTTCGACTTCTTGTTAAAAACAGCAAATCCAATTGTTTTGATATTACATATATAGGTACTATATGTGGACCTCTTTCAGATTTGTTCATTTTGTAATGATATCTTTAATTCTCTAATTTTGGTGAATATTTTTGTCATTTTTGGTAAAAAGTAATATTTTCGACTTCTTGTTAAAAACCGCAAGTGCAATTGCTTTGATAATACATATATAGGTACTACATGTGGACCTCTCTCAGATTTGTTCATTTTGTAATGATGTCTTTAATTCTCTAATTTTGGTGAATATTTTTGTCATTTTTGGTAAAAAGTGATATTTTCGACTTCTGTTAAAAACCGCAAGTCCAATTGCTTTGATATTACATATATAGGTACTACATGTGGACCTCTCTCAGATTTGTTCATTTTGTAATGATATCATTAATTCTCTAATTTTGGTGAATATTTTTGTCATTTTTGGTAAAAAGTGATATTTTCGACTTCTTGTTAAAAACCGCAAGTGCAATTGCTTTGATAATACATATATAGGTACTACATGTGGACCTCTCTCAGATTTGTTCATTTTGTAATGATGTCTTTAATTCTCTAATTTTGGTGAATATTTTTGTCATTTTTGGTAAAGAGTGATATTTTCGACTTCTGGTTAAAAACCGCAAGTCCGATTGCATTTATTTTACATTTATAGGTACTACATGTGGACCTCTCTCAGATTTGTTTATTTTGTAATGATATCTTTAATTCTCTAATTTTGGTGAATATTTTTGTCATTTTTGGTAAAAAGTGATATTTTCTACTTCTGGTTAAAAACCGCAAGTCCAATTGCTTTGATATTACATATATCGATACTACATGTGGACCTCTCTCAGATTTGTTCATTTTGTAATGATATCTTTAATTCTTGTTTTGGTGAATATTTTTGTAATGTTTGATAAAAAGTGATATTTTCGACTTCTTGTTAAAAACTGCAAGTCCGATTGCATTTATATTACATTTATAGGTACTACATGTGGACCTCTCTCAGATTTGTTCATTTTGTAATGATATCTTGAATTCTCTAATTTTGGTGAACATTTTTGTAATTTTTCGGAAAAAGTGATATTTTTGAATTCTTGTTGAAAACAGCAAGTCCCATTGCATTGATACTATGCATATTGTTCATTTTCTAATGATATCTTCTGTTCTTTAATTGAAATATGCATTGCTAACAGCGGATCGAGCTATCTCAGCCGAGAGGCTGCTTGTTTTAACAGTTCTATAGAGTGGATGTTAAAGAAAAATTGCATTTTTTGAAACCAAGGTTTTTGAAATAATTTAGGACAACAATAAATACCTTGGGTAGACCTCTCTCAGATTTGTTCATTTCATGATCATATCTTCAATTCTCTAATTTTGGTGAATATTTTTGTCATTTTTGGTAAAAAGTGATATTTTCGACTTCTTGTTAAAAACCACAAGTCCAATTGCTTTGATATTACATATATAGGTACTACATGTGGACCACTCTCAGATTTGTTTATTTTGTAATGATATCTTTAATTCTCTAATTTTGGTAAATATTTTTGTCATTTTTGTTAAAAAGTGATGTTTTGAACTTCTTGTTAAAAACCGCAAGTCCAATTGCTTTGATATTACATACATGTATATAGGTACTACTGGTACATGTGGACCACTCTCAAATTTGTTCATTTCATGATGATATCTTTAATTTTCTAATTTTGGTGAATATTTTTGTCATTTTTGGTAAAAATTGATATTTTCGACTTCTTGTTAAAAACCGCATGTCCAATTGCTTTGATATTACATATATAGGTACTACATGTGGACCTTTCTCAGATTTGTTCATTTTGTAATGATATCTTTAATTCTCTAATTGTGGTGAATATTTTTGTCATTTTTGGTAAAAAGTGATATTTTCAACTTCTTGTTAAAAACCGCAAGTCCATTTGCTTTGATATTACGTATATAGGTACTACATGTGGACCACTCTCAGATTTGTTCATTTCATGATGATATCTTCAATTCTCTAATTTTGATGAATATTTTGTCTACAAAGTGGAATAATGTATACAGGTTATGTGCACTGATTAGAAGCCAGTTCACTGGGATAGCCTTGATAAATTGTAATTCAACAATGTTTTCTGTTCATCATTTAAAATATTAAATATTTATATTGTTTCGTTATTTTTCTTCTCACAGTTACTCAGGTCTTCAAACCAGGGAAGCAAGACAAAGTTTTATTGAAGCGCTTAAAGAATATGGAAATGCTTCAATTTATTTACCAGCATTTGCCTTTAAAACCTGCACAGAGTCATCGTTCAGAGCTTATACAACGCTGCGATCCACTACCAGGGAAGTTGTATTTGCTCACCCAACCCACATGTGGTTGGTCAGGAAGTTCTGGAATGATCAAGGAGTAGGAGCTGTCAGGATTTCATCCGGTGAGTTAATATTATGAGTAATTGTTACTATTCAGTGTTAGTAAATTAATATCAAGTCACATAAATCACTAATGAGGAAAAAATCATTGCTGTATGTTCTATGTTCATTCAATATGTGGAAAACAAAGAATAATTAGAGTTTTGTACTTATAATTCTTGAAAATCAATTTTTGGTTGCTCACATGTGTCTCAATTGTAAATATGGTTCTAATGGAGGAAATGGGGGGGGGGCTTCTAATTTTAATATGATACATGCATTTCTAATAGAGCAGATATATGGTACATACGAGACAGTTTATAATTCCAATCTTTAAGCTGGCTTAACAGGGTATTAGGGTCATTTAGTTCTGCCTCACTTGTCTGTTTTGAAATCATTCATATCACCATTTGTATCACAGTTAGATATGTGTTTACTTGTAATTGACAATTTCCTTAATGCATTATACCTGTAGTTTCATTATAGTGAGATGTCTAACGTAAGCGAAACCTGTCAGCGAAACCTGTTTTTACATTGTACCCCTCACTGATTTTATGACGGAAGGAGTTTCTCTTTATCACTTACAAAATCCCGATTCCCATGATGCATTGCAAGTGTTTTGATGATCTTGATTGTGGTTATATACCATGGTTGCGGTACTTGTTGACTTAAAACTAAAAAAAACATAATCATATTTAGATACAGTCAGGTTTAATAAAAAAAAACTGATTACCTTGCTGTATTACATATAACATGAAAGTCGAAAAATAATTTATTTTTGTGTTATCATTAGAGCGACAACCATTAAAACAATGTTTTTTTTTGTTTCTTGCTGTTGCCTTTAGAAATACACAACATGAATAGAAAATAACACAAGAATTAACTTCAATATAATTGCCACAAAAATGTTGATGTAAGAGCAACTATATGAATGTTTACTAATGTTATATTCACTACGCCATTTACTATGTCAGTATCAGTCTGTTCAGGTCATCTGATAACGCACTATATGTATAGAATAAAAAGCCCTGAAGACATGTGATTATTTTAAGAATATAGATATGCTTGGTATCTGTTTTATAAGTTCCATCTGTCAGTATGAATGAAATAATGATCTTTAACCATCAGTAGGGTATATGTGTGATTGATTCATGCTCTCTTACTTAAGGTAACAAAGTGCATGTCATGTATTAACTATAAAATGTGTACTTTACGTGCTGTAATACAAGTCTCTTGTGGTGTGAGCCGACAGTGATTGCCTGTATATGTTGCATTGTGATTAAAATAATTGGGTCATGCTGTACAGAATGTCAGAGTTAACTTACAATATATATTTACTATAAGGGATTAACCTGTGAGTATTATGGGAGAGGTATTAGTTTTGATAGGAAGATCTACACAGGGTAAAATCCCGCAGAAATCATATATCACTGCATACAAATCATCAACATGAATTATAGAGGATATAGTATTTCATAGTTACTGTAACAATAACATAATTTAATGTACAGTTTCTACCCCCCCCCCCAATTCAAAATCATTCACCCCTAAATTGTGTAAATTCTTTTTATTCTATGAACAAATTGCTTAGAAATATATACTGTAAATATTATTAGCTTCTGTTCTAACACGTCTGAAACCAAGAACAAAATTGCTGTTCCACAATCATGTTTCTGACATGCCTTAACCAATCACATTCAGTCTTTGCACAGGCATGTGTTGCATGATTCAATTCAAGATGATCCATTGACATCCATTTAAAAAAAAAAATCTACAAAATTAGTTCTAGAACCAGATCTTGCCGCTGTACTAATGTAATCTACCAATTTACTAATCCCCAACAATTTCAATTGACACATTTAATTAGGTCATTGCATGAAATTGTTGCTTTTTTATAATCAACTTTTTATTTTAGGACATCTGGTGTTTAGCTCATGAGGGATCGCTTGATTACTAATGAAGACTGTTTATATTATATTATTTTTGGTTTATGTAAATTTATTAATTTGTGTATACTAGAATAAAGCGTACTAATAATTCAAAATTACGTATGTATTGGTTAAAGTATTGCTTTTTGGCTGCTTACCGGTGTAGTCCATATTGAGGAAAAATAACATTTCTTGTAAATGTTTCAATATTTATTCATGATAAGTTATAGTTTTGCCATCTTAATACTTTAAAATCACAGTACCACAAAATTTCCACATGATATTCTGTATGCCTGGGTCAATATCAGTCAGATCCAGAATTAATTTGGTTGTAACTGATGATGATTTGCATCATGGTTTGATTCAAAGTGGCTGACCGGTGGAGTGCGCCCTCAAACGAATGATTTTATAGGGATCTTGAGTAAAATGTGTCAAGGAAACAATGACATAGATTTAATTTAGCAGACTTTACTTATCAGGAAATATAGGGAAATTAAAACCCAGTGAATAATTAATGCATTTACAGTAGAATCTCAAAAATCAAATTGAATCAGCTTGGTGACAAACTATAATAAGATGTTTTTGAAGATTTCAATATCAAAGTAAGATTTTTGTTCTAATGTAAGTCATTAGAAGGCCAGGGACTAAGTTGCAAAAAAAAAAAATCTTGGTGCAATGCATCAGTGATGTGTCATATTGGCTTTCAGAGCTAGCACACTACTGTTGGCCATTTTGGTAATAAAAATCATAAAACCAAAATGTACATAAAAGATTCTGCAACATCAGTTTTAACAACTGAAGATCTATCAAATTTGGTTGATGTTGCAGGTAAATAATAGTTGGGTACCCCAAGTGTGGGGTAAGAAATATTGCTTATAGACCCTGTTGCCTATTGCCTATTGCCTATAGACCCTGTTGAGTTTACTTGTCGTGTCGGAAATGCCGTGCCAAATTGAATAGTTATGAATATAATAGTAAATCTTCCAAATAGACATCTAATACAATATCTTTTTTAGGCCAAGCTAAGGGTCTGGATGGGGTCTTAAAAATGTTAGTATAATATAAAAATACCAAGCTTACGCAGCCATTAAAAACAAAAAGATCAAGCAACAGACATAACTAAAACATGTTGTATTCATTTTGGACTGACCTTCACATAGAAAAGAGTGTTCTTAAAATTGAATCAATTTGTTTCAATTGAAGACATGGAAACTTGTTGTAAATTATAAATCACAAAACCTTCAGCTTTGCATTTCTATTCTAAAATACAAATTTTGTGAATTCTTAAGTGGGGGTCGTATTTGGGTCATGTAACAAAGAAAAAAATGAGTTTGGCAGATTTGAGAAATTGGCCTTGATCAATGGAGAAAATAGAGACTCAAGTAATGAACACATTTTTCAAACATGTAAAAAACAAACTTTTTTTTTTTACAAACAGCCTCACAAATGGCTGTTTTTTTAAAATCATTGCACACACCTAACATTTTTCCACAGCCACATACCCAGGGAAGTTAATTGTCTGTTGCAATGTAATTTAGAAATAGAATATTTACTATAAGGTGACAGATTATTTCATTGAATATTCATATTATATTTTGTTCATGTTGTAAATATAAATATAAGAGTTTCTGAAGATTATACAATATCAATGTATGGTTTTTGTTGTGTCATTGGAAGGCTAGGTAAAAGTTGCATCACAAGTGGGTACACTACTAGTGACCATTTTGGTAATAAAAATTATGAAATCAAAATGTATATGAATGTGTCGATCTGCAACATCTGTTTTAACAATTACAGATCCATAAAATTTAGTTGATGTGGCCTTGCAGATAATTGTAAAATTTAATGTTGTACAGATGAGGTGTATTTTACTGCTTCGTAAATTAGAGAAAATATCACAATTAAATGGTAGCAACGAGAATCCCACTTAATTTCTGTAAGCAGTATCTTGAAATTTCAGTTAAATAAACCATTTGCATACAGTATTGTCAATCATTAGAAAAGAATAGTACTATATAAAAACACTAAGCTTACGCAGCCATTAAAAACAAAACGATAAATCAACAGGACAAAACTAAAACATGTTGTATTAATTTTGGAACTGACCTCAGCATAGGAAAGAGTGTACTTAAAATTGAATCAATTTGTTTCGATTGCAGAAATAGCAAGTATGTCAAATTTCGTTTGGATAATAAATTGAAATGCTGTAAATTATAAATTGTAAAAAGCTTCTTTAAATTCTAATCCCATCCCAGCATATCAGTTTTGTGAATTCTTAGATGGTGCGTTTTCAATATCATAATAAATTGAGTTCCGGTATATGCCTCGGAACATACAGATGACATTATTGCCTACATCAACTGTCCTGAAATCTTCCCACATTTAAGAGTTTATTTTAACCTTCACACTGCCACATCATGGGGTATAGGTGGCAGCCGTGAAGGAAGTATTACACTGGGGTGCATGTAATGGTGCTATAAAATAAGAACTACTTTTTAGTGTTCACATTGTACCTATATAAAAACTGTAATATAAACTGAGTGATTGTGAAATACTATACTTTGCCCATTAGAGATGGCTTATTATATGTAATTATCCAGTGAGTGATGCAATCCACACAAGTGCAACTATTACATGACCTGAAGTTATTGTTTATATTACAGGATAGTTTAACCCTGTATACCCAGTTATTTGAAACTATTCATAAGTTGCCATGTGATATTATCTTAGCTTGCTACAATTCACATACTGTCTTATTTGTATTATTTTACATGATTAAGGTCATGATGGTACATTCTCAAGTACACAAAATATTGCAATGCAATTTTCACTTACATTTGCATGATTTTACTATTTTGAAGGATTTGAGCATGTGTTTTAATTTTGTAAATAAAACAATGAGTTTTATTGTTATTTTACATGTTCATGTAAATTTAATTTACCAGATTTTACTTATGAGCAAGGATAGTGAAATTTTAAACCCAGTGAATAATTAATGCATTTACTGTACTCAAAGTATATCTTCTGTTGGCATGACAACAGTTCAATTAACCATTTGCTCCTGGGCTGAGAGAGTTTCCACATTTACTCTTGGACTGGAAGAGACTGTTGAGGTGTGGAATACCATATTTGCTCTATTAGCAGCACATTTGTGCAAGTGCTAGATGATTAAAATCACCTTTTCTGATTGCTACTAATAAAGTAAATCAAAAGTGATGTTCCACCAAGATTGTTTCTAAAAGCTTCAATGATAATTTTTGTTTTCTCCATTCCATTCTTGTAGGACTATTGCTGTTCACCATTGCTATGGGACTGTGTGATGAGGTTCATCTCTATGGTTTCTGGCCCTTCCAGGAAGACATGCACGGTAGACCAGTCTACTATCACTATTTTAATGAGAATGCTTATATGCTTAACAAGAAGAAGAAGAAAATGCACTGGCATGAGATGCCATCTGAATTCAAACAGTTGCAAGATTTACACATGAAAGGTGCCATCCATGTGCATGTAGGCGACTGTCAGTCAAAAAAATAGTATTTATGGAAATTTTTAAATTTAAAGGAAATCTACAGTTAATTTCATGAAATTCAATGTTTTTTTATCTAAAGTATTTATAAATGTATTAAACTCACAGTTGAAAACAACTTGACCAATCAAAATGCGATGTATCCCTTATGAAAATGATCTGAAGATTTTATACAGAATTGTATAAATTATATTGAAATATAATAGAATGTAATTTAATATTTTTTTCCACAAAAGTCTGCAAATTTTCATACAATTCCTACAGAAAATAAATATTCTATACATACTACATTCGTATATTCAATTCCATAAAAATTCAATAGAAAAGGGGCCAACATTTTGTTAAAATCTACAGAAATTCTTCATTAGAAACAGTAAATCTGGCAAAAATTGAAGGGAACTCGCTAAGATTCATTTTTGACCAGCATTATGAAATGGTTTTAAAATAGAATGAAGAGCGAGGGTCTTCCAGAGTAAATGTTTATAAATATTTGTTTTTTAAATGTTTATAAAAAACATTCATGTCTTTATGAAATTCACTGTACTGGTTTATAAAGTTGATAATTATTTAATAATCCAATATATTGGTTTGCCCTTCTATACATTGCTTACATTTTATATTTAAAATCATTTTCTGACTACAAGGGCTATATATATCTTCTATTAGAATCACACATAAACAAACTATTATTGTTGTTGACTTATTTTGACTATTGCCAAACTTCTGTTGTTTATGTAAGTGTGTGCGCTATGGATACAGTCAACACCTCTGACGTTTTTATGCTGAACTTTGCGAACTATTGACATTGTACATAGTTGGTATTATTGAACCATAATTTAATACATGTATAATCACGCTATAAAGAACATGTGACCACCTTTGGATGCACTTTCAAATGGTTGTGCTATGGCAAGAACATTGTGGGAACATTGATTAACCTGGCTAATTATTTAATACCTCATAATACAGAACTTTATCAATCTTCTTTTGAAGAGTTAAGATACTCTACAAAGTCATCTGAGCTATTACGATTGGTACTAAGGTAAAGTTGATTGTTTTCCTATTTTTTAGCGAATAATTTTGTTGCTTCTGCATTGAGTGTCTACAAAAGCTGTAATTCAGAAGAGCCGTGTTAAGGCAGTTATTTGACAGTTTGATAAAAAAAATTGTAAAAGTATTTTAGTTTGCCAATAATTGTGAAATCAGCTGTGTAGAGGTCATTTATACTGGTGCTTTGTGGGACTACAGTTCAGTCATCCTAAATTGTCAGTTTTGTAATTTAAAAAACAGTTATAATGCTCAATCCATAATGAAGAGCTATATTAAGAAGTTTAAATCACAAAGTGTATAGTTTGTCTATAAATTACTTACAATTCCTTTTATAAGAGTTAGAATATACTGAACTACCGGGTATTTACAATAATTTCTTACTTCATAGTTTTTTAGATGTTATTTTTATAGTCCAAAATGTTTGTATGTTAGATGTTTATATGTTTGTGGTAAATGTGAAATTATTTTTAATCCTTGCTCATAGATAATTAAATAGAATATTTGCTCTATTACATGCAGTATGCAATTATGAATATTAACATTTTTTAATAATCCAGTATAAAATAAATGTAATTATGTGCACTTCTATTAGAGATGTGATTCTAATAGTGCAAATTCAGGATTCCGGTACACAGTCAATTGAAAATTCAGAATTGGTTTGGTTGTAGATAAATTCATTTTCTGTATGTACTATGGTACATACTGTAGTGTTTTGTTAGTTATATTTACTTACTGTTATTTCTTAATATATTAATTAATTTTGTGTTTTTTTAATATGCTATTAGATTATTATATGGGTTTATATGTATCAACATATATCATTTCATTTTAAGTTTGCTCAATACAATTTTTTTTTTATATTTTGCATATAGATTGGAAAAAAAGCAGGGTCATGCCCAATATTGTTAAGACTGACAAAATCTTGCTTTAAGTGGATAATGGAGTTAATACACAGGATTCTATTCTATGGGAAAAGTAAACTATGAGCTGTTCAATTATAATTTTTCTTTACAATATTGAAAACTTGTGTCTTGAACTAAAACTTGAAAAAAGCGATATAGAGCAATTTGTAAAGATGCACCAGTTTTAGTAATTTGCCCTATGCTAAGACATTGAATATTTTTTCATGGGAAAACTCCTGTGTGTCTCATGTTTTGGAAACTGTATTGATCAAGTTTAAAATTTGAATCTATTTTTATTTTTAACATTTTCATATATCCCAGTCTCTGAGTGCATGTAAAATAGAGTGAACACTATAACGTGTATGCTGCTTATCAGGTCATGGATCTTGCTTGATCTTTAACAGGGTAATAATAATATGATGAATTAAACACCATTTAATCAGAATTATGTAATATATATATAACCATATGTAGTTTAGCAAATATGTCAAAACCGGACCACTGCCAATGAATGCAGTAAATCAAGAACAAGGCTGTAATACATTCAAAAGTATATTTTGAGGTCATTATGAAGACGTATTACATTTTATAAAGCTAATCACACAATATATAAAACATCCACAAATTAATGACTTCAATACACTCTCCATTCAAGGGTAGTGTGCAATACAGTGGTGTAATCTAATATAGTTTCTTTTTTCATCAGAAATATTGTATTTATTTTTAGTTTATTCGATCTCTAAAGCACAATTTTCATTCTATGTAATTACCTTTGTTTTTGTATGACAACGATCGCATAATGTATAACCTTTCATGGTCCGATGTTTTCTAAGCAATAAAAGTAACTGTATTTTACATCAAAATTGTCTGTTGTGGGTAATTTTTGTTGTCGTGTTGTGCTATTATTTAATACATACACACTCAACTTAAAATAGATCACAGTTGTAAGTATGGTTCCTACATGAGGGTTTCTGTCAGGATCAGACTCAACAATCCCCTTCAACTCCTAAACTTCACCACTTGACTTAAAATATATCACTGTCAGTGTAGGTTCTTCGCGAGGGTTTCTGTCAGGATCAGACCCCACAATCCCCCTTCAACTTTTAACTTCACCACTTGACTTAAAATATATCACTGTCAGCATAGGAGCAAAGAAGTGGTAAGTAGTGGCAAAATACGGCAAAGTAGTGGCAAATTAGTGGTAAGTACGGCAAAATAGTAGCAAAGTACGGCAAAGAAGTGTCAATGTACGGCACAGTGGTGGCTAAGTAAAGCAAAGTAGTGGCAAA